TTCTGTCCTCCCAGGACGTCACCTTTGACGAGTCGGTGCCTTACTACCGTCTCTTCCCCTACCGCACTGCGCCCCTCCCCCCGCCGCCGCTCTTCCTTGCGCCAGGTCCTCCCCCGGTAGACCCCCTCCCCCCTCAGGGTCCTGCCCCGTCAGGTGTGTCCCAGGTAGACGCAGTCGAGCCTGTCGAGGTAGCTGTTGACTCTGGTGCTGCTAGAGGTGCTGAGCCTGCGGGTGCCGGGTCTGGAGGTGCTGAGCCTGAGGGTGCGGAGCCTGGGGGTGCTGAGTCCAGGGGTGCGGAGCCTGGGGGTGCTGAGTCCAGGGGTGCGGAGCCTGGGGGTGCGGAGCCTGGGGGTGCTGAGCCTGGGGGTGCTGAGTCTGGGGGTGCTGAGCCTGGGGGTGCTGAGCCTGGGGGTGCGGAGTCTGAGGGTGCTGGGTCTGCTCGTGTGGCCTCTCCCGGTGCTTCGTCGAGGCGGGAGACACTCTCTCCGCAGGAGCTGCGCGAGTGGTTTGCCCGGCGCTGGAGCCGTGCTGCTGGAGCTGGTGGTACTACTGTTGCTGCTGGTCCCGGAGGTGCTCGTACTGGCGGTACTGGAGCTGCTGGGACTGGGGGTGCTGCTGGGGCTGCTGGAGTTGGTCCTGCTGGAGGTACTGCTGGAGCTGCTGGCGGTACTGGAGCTGCCGGTCCTGTTGGAGTTGGTGCTGCTGGAGCTGCAGGAGCTGCTGGAGCTGGAGCTGCTGGGGGTGTTGGCGCTGGTGGTGCTGCTGGCGCTGGTGCGTCTGAGGGTGCTGGAGTTGGCGATGTTGGAGCTGGAGGTGCTGCTGGCGCTGGTGCTGCCGCTGGGAGTACTGGTGCTGTCCCTGCTGGCTCTTGAGGCGCTGCGCGGCCGCGGCCGTACTTCGTTCCGCTCCTTGAGCAGGTTCTTGGTCTCCCGCCCTCTACTGGTCCTGCTCCTCCCTTAGAGGGTCCACAGCCTGTCCAGTCGCGGTCACAGTTACAGCCCGCCTCCCCCCTACCTGTTCCTTCTCCCTACACTGGTCCTACTGGAGGTCTTGCTGAGCGTCGTGAGCCTGCGTCTCGTCCTGCGTCGCCTGTTCGTGCTGCTCGCACTAGTGGTCGTGCTCCGCGTCCGCGTCCTCCTGCGGTCCCAGGCACACACCAGATGGCACTGCGTCCTTCCACTGCTCCTCTGCGTGTCCCGTTGCCGTCTCCTCCAGAGTCCTCTCTTCCTGTTCTTGCTGACCCGGAGTCTGACTCTCTTCGTGCTGCCAGTCCTACTGTCACGCGTCTCCTGGCCACTGTTGTCACTGACCCTTCCTTTGAGTCCACTGCTGCGTCTGCCATAGTTTCTGAGCTTGTCGACTTTGCTGCTCGCTGTCGTCTAGACTACGCCGCTAGTCTCGTTGCTGAGTCTGAGTCTGTCTGTCCTCCGTCCGTCGGGGGTGAGTGTGCTCTTAGCACGCACGTCCTTGAGGACAGGCAGGAGGAGTTCCAGTGTTTTGCTGCTGCTTTGCCTCATCTCGTGTCCACGCTGATTGCCCCTGAGGGAGACCCGGATGCACCAGACATCCCGACTCCTCCATCGTACGCTGAGGCGATCGAGGGTCCCTACTCCTCTCAGTGGCAGTCAGCCATGGACGCAGAGATGGCTTCCTGGAAGTCCACAGGCACCTACGTCGACGAGGTTCCCCCACCTGGGGCGAACATCGTCAGTGGCATGTGGATTTTCAGGGTGAAGCGGCCGCCGGGTTCTCCGCCTGTCTTCAAGGCGCGTTACGTGGCTCGAGGCTTCAGTCAGCGGCAGGGAGTTGACTACTTTCAGACCTTCTCTCCCACCCCGAAGATGACCACTCTTCGGGTGCTGCTGCACATAGCCGCTCAGCGCGACTACGAGCTTCACTCTCTTGACTTCAGCACAGCTTTCCTGCAGGGCAGCCTGCACGAGGAGATCTGGCTGCGCCGCCCACCTGGCTTCACTGGGTCGTTTCCTCCTGGTACCCAGTGGAGCCTCCGGCGGCCAGTCTACGGTCTCCGCCAGGCGCCCCGTGAGTGGCACGACACACTGAGGACTACACTTGCGGCTCTTGGGTTTGCTCCTTCTACAGCCGACCCGTCGCTGTTTCTGCGCACCGACACCTCTTTGCCGCCGTTCTACATCCTCGTGTACGTCGACGACTTGGTCTTTGCCACTGCTGACACTGCTGGACTCGCCCACGTGAAGTCCGAGCTGCAGAAGAGACACACGTGCACAGACCTGGGTGAACTGCGCAGCTACCTTGGCTTGCAGATCACCCGGGACAGAGCACAGCGCACCATTACCCTGGTGCAGCAGGTCCTTCAGCGCTTCGACTTCACGTACTCCTCGCCTCAGGCCACTCCTCTGTCTACTCGCCACTCGCTCTCAGCTCTGCCTTCGGATGAGTCCGTAGAGCCGAGTGGCCCGTACCCAGAGCTTGTTGGCTGCCTCATGTACCTGATGACCTGCACACGACCTGACCTTGCATACCCTCTTAGCATCTTGGCACGCTATGTTGCTCCTGGGAGACACCGACCAGAGCACATGGCTGCAGCGAAGAGGGTGTTGCGCTACTTGTGCAGTACGTTGGGCATGGGGCTGGTGCTTGGAGGGTGACGTCGAGTGGTCCTCACAGGGCACGCAGACGCTTCTTGGGCGGACGACCAGGCAACGCAGCGGTCGTCACAGGGTTACACCTTCAGCCTTGGCTCCGGCTCTGTTTCGTGGCGGTCTACCTGCTCGTCTTCTGTTCTTGGCTCCAGCTGTGAGGCTGAGATCTACGCAGGGGCCATGGCTGCACAGGAGCTACGCTGGCTCACCTACCTGCTGACTGACCTAGGAGAGCCGCCTCGTTCTCCTCCAGTTCTGTACGTAGACAACAAGGCCATGCTGGCCTTGTGTCGGGAGCACAGACTGGAGCACAGAACGAAGCACATTGCTCTCCGCTACTTCCTTGCTCGTGAGCTGCAGCAGCGTGGTCAGCTGCGCCTTGCTTACGTGGCCTCTGAGGCCAACACTGCTGATATCTTTACCAAGGCACTTCCGCCTGGTGATCATCAGCGCTTCTGTACTATGCTAGGTCCTGTGCCTACTTGGCCTCACTTGCTCACTTCTTGACCTTGCTTGTACTGTGATCTTTCTATACCTGCACTTGCCTGTTTACTTTTATATATGATCTTGCATGTGAACTGGCCTTGTGGCCTTGCTCTTGTGCTCGGATTGTGTGGTGACGTTGTGATCCACCCTGAGCTTGCTTTGCTTTGCTTGACTGGTCTTGTGACCTCTTGTTCTCCCCCACTTTGCCTATGGGGGTGTGTCAAACTTATATCATATAGCTTGTCTAGGATATAGTGGGGTAGACACTATGGGGTACAGTTTCCTAGGGTTTCCTACTTGTACCCAACTTTGTGCTAGTTCATTCATTCCTCATTTCTTCACACCTCGCACTGCTGGCCCGGCCGTGTCGGCCTACGCTTCGGGACTAGCCCGAGCCTCGCTGCCAGCGTAGCACTAGCTAGTTCGCACGCACCGCGTTACCGTTTGCATGTTTCGCGTATAAATGTTCGCTCATGCCTTCGCTCAGATTTTGTACTCGTTTGACACCTTAGTGCAATTCTCGATACCTCGATTCATTGCACCCGTAACACTTATGCTCATATAACCTATATCTTATAAATTAAATCCATATACTATTTTCTTCCGCTAGATATAGTTGTTCTGTTTAAAACTAGATTTCCTTCCATCTCCATTCAGTTTTCAATTAACATATCTTCTCCTCATATATTTCCGTACGTTATATTCCACTGCAAGGTGGTTCTTTTATCATCAATAATACAAAAATGTGTCCTGTAAGTAACAAGATTTGTATATAATATTAATTTCATAACATATAAATGCTATATTGCAACTTCCACCTGGTTATTGTGGATTCGCTGCTCGTTATAATGAGTTGAGACAATTTTTTATTGACATAAGACTCTTATAATTATAAGCAGAAAACGTACATACTTCTGTAGTCATCTATATACACATGTTTCCTGGCTCCATCTTGGTGTTGGCAATGGAGGCTGTGTAATCCAATGCGCACAGATATCCAATGGTAGTCACGCGTCAAGTCCACATGGTGGTCTCTTATTAGTGGACCTTGTGCACCTCCACGGTTCTTGCTTCCCCCACCCATGACCCGATCCGAGGCGTGCTCTTGCTGAGTGCGCTGCTGCTCCCACTGCGCCCAGGCTGGTTGGCGCGTCGCTGGACTGCGGGGGAGAGACTTCGGGAAAATGTGTTTCTAGTGGAGCATCCAGCCCTCCCCCAACTTCACGCGACGCCCCCCTCCCCTATCTTCCCCGCCACCACTCCGCCGACAACATTGCGCCACCTTGGGATTTGTTGTGGGCGGGTGCATGAAACTTGCCTCCATGCCTCACTGCCTATTGCCACTGCTTGTTCATTGCTCCTTCCATACCATCGTCGTTAGCAGGGATAGGAGACTACCTTGTGCGTGATCATACATCGGCTGTGAATGCAGTGTTTCATTCTGAGCTCATATGCGCTTCGTTGATTTTCCAGCCACGACCTTTTGTTCTTCCTGAGCAGTCGGGCGTGCCATTTTCTTCTGAGAACCGCATAATGGTCGGACACTCAGGCTATCAGGTGCTACACTAGGCCTGCAGTGATCCACTGCTTGTACAGTCGCATTCATCATACGAACCTGATCCCCACTCGACGACACTATCGGTATCTCTTGCACAATGATCTCAGCATCACCGCTGCACACAGCAGGCTTCGTGCCAGCATTCAATTCAACCGCGTCAGCGCATCACCCATTCACCTCTAGCGCTGCTGGGAGCAAGCCATTGCTTGCATCACTCCCCCAACGGCACCGCGAGCGCCCTCCTTTCTCCCTCAATGCCGGACCCAGCAGATTCGCCAGGAATCTCACGCCTCGAACGCGAACAGCTACACTAACGCACTTCTACTCCGCTTATGACGCTCGGTTTGCGACACGTTCCAGCGGCGTACAGCTCCGGGTGAGCGCGCGTGACGTTGACAGTAGCAGAATCGTTGACGAGGGGAGGGAGGGACGGTTAACGTCGGACTCTGCGAGAGAAGACGAGCCTGAAAAGGACGCAAGGGAGGATACTGCTGCGCCCGGTAAAGATTCTGGAAGTGATGTGAGTCAGGGAGAGAGAAGCCGTGAAAGCCGGGAGAGTCCGAGGCAGAGTTATAGAAGCGAGTGGAGGGGCACAGATAGGGACGGAAACGTCGCAGAACGTGGAAGGGAGGGGACTGAGGGCAGGGATAGAAGGGCTAGATACGTTCGGAACAGCGGGCGCTGGGAATGGATTCCGGCGGGACGAGATCGACGCGCCAGCGTGCATGTGAGCGTGCCCGTCGCTAACAGCAGCGGCAGGAGCAGCAGCGGCAGGACCGGCAGCGGTACCGGCACTGGCTACCGCAGCGGCGGGCGTCGAAGAAGCGGCGGATCTTCCGGCAGTTCCAGCTCGGAAAGTGAGGGGGAAGAGGAGGGGGGGAATGCGCAGGGCGGGCGCAAGGCGTGGGGGGGACCTGGCGGGAGGGAGGATGGCGGAGGGGGGAGATCGAGAGGCAATGGGCGCGGACTGGCGCTTGCGCGCTCTGTAGTGATCGACCTGCTGGCGCGGAGCAAGGAGAGCGTGGAGGAGGTGGTGTCGCCGGTGCTGTCGCGATTGACCGCTGCGACGCTGTGGGATCATGTGAGTGAGGAATTCCGTTGGGTCGGTCAGGGGCATGCACCGTTGCATTCTGATGTTATGGGCTTGTTCTCGATCGTGTGTGCTCGTGTGCGATCGCGCGCGTCTAATGGCGTGGCATAGATGCGGCTGCCGCCACCAAACCACTCACATTCCACTTTCCAGCTAATACAACTCTCAAATATGTACAAGAAACCGCAACAATCTACTCCTCCCATTCTGCCCTCTCCTCCTGTCCATCCCCTCCATCCTCTCCCTCGCGCGCCCCTAGATCCTCCGGGATTTAGAGCACAGAGGAAACAAAAGACGCGCGTACGAGGTCTTCGAGTACTTGCTCCTAGGGAAGGAGCACCACGGAGTGACCCTCTCCCCGCAGCTCTTCTCCACCGTTATCACCATGCTGGGCCGCGACGGGAAGCTGGCGCACGCGCGCGCGGCGTTCGACGCGATGGCGGCGCACGGCGTGGCGCGCGGCGTGCACGAGTTCACGTCGCTGCTGAGCGGGTACGCACGGCACGGGCTGATCCGCGAGGCGGTGGACGTTCTGGCGCTGATGAAGGAGGAGGGGTGCGAGCCGAACGTGGTGACGTACAACGCGCTCATTCACGCGCACGCGAAGCAGGGCTCCGGAGTTGATAAGGTGCGTGCGTGCGTGCTGAGGTGAGTCGATTTATGAGTTTATTTGAAAAGAATGAGACAAGGGGACGTGTGTGTTGAGGTTGAAGGAGCGCAAGGTGAATGCGGGACTGACGAAGCCGTGTGAAATGGGGGGTTCGGAAGAAAGCAGTGGGCATCGGGCAAACGATTGTGGGTTGGAGGGAGTTCAAGACACATAGGTGGGATGGGGACACACAACACATACACAACACACACACACAGCACACACATACACACGCACACAAACAAACAAAAACGCAGACAACCCCAGCACACATCCTCCCTCAGCGTTGTCTCCTTCCTACCTCTCCTTTAAGCCTGTTCACCTATCCCATTACCCTCTGTTGCAACCAACACAGCTCCCGCCTTTCCCCTCTTCTCGTCCCCATCCCATCCCATGTTCAAGTAACGGCTGACATGGCGGGCGTAGCAGTTCAACCAGACTCTATGTCGCATCTGGCTCACTCGCCCCTCCCCTCTCCCTCCTCCTGCTCTCCTTCATTCAGGTGACCGCACTCTTTGACGAGATGACAGCGCGGGGAGTGGAGCCGGATGCCATCGCATACAAAACATCAACTGGTTCTCCTTCCCACTCTCTCTACACCTGGTCCCCACCCTCCTCCCTCCTCCCTTCATTCAGGTGACGGCACTCTTTGATGAGATGACAGCGAGGGGAGTGGAGCCGGATGCCATCACGTACAACGCGCTCATCAACGTGTGCGTGCGCTGCCGAGACCACTGTTGTTGCGCCACCTCAAAGCAGAACGCATCCCCCCTCCCTTCTCGTCTTTCAGGTGACGGCACTCTTTGATGAGATGACAGCGCGGGGAGTGGAGCCGGACGCAATCACGTACAACACGCTCATCAACGTGTGTGTGCGCTGCCGGGACGTGGAGCGAGCTCTCACCGTTTTCAACACCATGCGCCAAGCTGGCTTCTCCCCCAACGTCATCACGTACACCAGTCTCGTTGACGGGCTGGGCAAGGCGGGCAGGGTGAAAGAGGCCGCGGAGTTGTTCGAGGTGAGTTAGTGGAGCTTGAGGGTTTGCCAAGAAGAGGGGGGGGCGAGCTCTCACTGTTTTCCACACCATGCGCCAAGCTGGCTTCTCCCCCAACGTCATCACTTGCACGAGTCTCGTTGACGGGCTGGGCAAGGCGGGGCGTGTGAAAGAAGCTGCAGAGTTGTTCGAGGTGAGTGGGTGGAGGATGAGGGTTTGCAAAGAGGAGGAGGAATTGGGGAAGCAGGCAGGGAAAAGGGGAAGGGAAGGGCTGGAAGGGAAGGAGTTGAAACGGAGATGCTCTGACGCTCTCTCCGTTCCTATTTCACCCTCATCCCTATTCCCATCACACCGCCATCCCCGTGCCCAATGCCCATGCCAATGCCCACGCCCCCTTGCCCATGCCCATCCATGCCCATCCCCACCACCATCCCCATCTCTCTGTGACCATCTGCTCCACCATCCCCACCATCATCCGCACACCCATCCCATCCCAACCCCATCCCCATCCCCATCCCCATCCTCATCCTCATCCCCATCCCCACCACCGTCCTCGTTCTCATCCTCATCGGTATCCCATGCCATGTCCATGCCCACCCCCATGCACCGGAGATGAAGCACTGCAGGCAGGACCCCAAAAGCCGCACTTACAGCTTCTGAGTCAACTCAAAAATCGTCCCATCCCCACCATTTCACACCCCCATGCCCGCCCCCATGCCCACGCCCATCCCCACCCAAATGCTCACCCCCATGCACAGGAGATGAAGCACTGCGGGCAGGACCCCAACAGCCGCACGTACAACTCCCTCATCCGCGCATACGGCGAGGCAGGGCTGTATGACGAGGCCACGAGCCTCTTCCAGGAGATGGCGCGCGCAGGTGAGGATACAAGAACAAAAGAGGGTGCAAAAGTCACTGCATTCCCCAAGAGGTAGGGCTGTAGGGTGAGACCACCGGCCTCTTCCAGGAAATGGCGCGCGCAGGTGTGGATACAAGGACAAAAGAGGGTGCAAGAGCCACTGCATTCCCCAAGGGGTAGGGCTGTAGGGTGAGACCACCGGCCTCTTTCAGGAAATGGCGTGCGCAGGTGAGGATACAAGGACAAAAGAGGGTGCAAGAGCCACTGCATTCCCCAAGGGGCAGAACTGTACGACAAGGACACCAGCCTCTTTCAGGAGATTTCACGCGCAGGTGAGGCAACATGCAGTGCGCTGAACTAAGAAACGCGCAAGCCTTCCGTTTCTCCGACCCACCCACCTCCTGGTCACTTGTCGCATTCGCTACATATGTTCTGTCAGCCGTCAACCCAAACCATCCGTCCATTGCCCTCCCCTCTTGCTGTGTATGCTGGCACGTGTGTGCATGACATGGTGCATGCCTGATGCATTCACATGCAACAACATGATAGACGTTTATGGCTGGGACGGGCACCACACCATCTTATTGTGATCCGTGCCCTTCCATTGCACTCCCTCCTGTTGTCTCATCACCTGTGCGTGCATGGCAGGGTGCATGCCTGATGCATTCACGTACAACACGATGATCAACTTCTATGGCCGGGACGGGCAGGTGGACGCAGCAGAGGGCGTGCTGCAGCAGATGCGCACGCAGGGGTGCATCCCTGACAGGGTGAGTTTGGGTTTGTGTGAAGTGCATCAACACCTGGGCAGGGTGGGTGTGTGTGTGTGGGGGTGTGTGTGTGTGTGTGGGTGTGGGTGTGTGTGTGTGTGTGGGTGTGTGTGTGTGTGTGTGCTTTTGTGTGTGAATGGGCAGGGCGAATGATGGGAGTGAATGGCGTGGAGAGTGGAAATGCCGTAGAGTTTTTTAGGAAGATGCGGATCATGAAATGATGTGTGTGTTCCCCCTTTCCTGTTCCCTAAAGGACCCTCCTCACCCTCTTTACCTCCCATTTCTGTCCCGTTCCCCCTTTTTCCCTCCCACTCTCACTCCCTCCCTCGCCACAACCCCCTCTCTCCCACCCTCTCTCCCCCCTTTTCCCCCTCCCCCTCCCCCTCCCCCTCATCCTCCCCCCCTCCCTTCCCCGCCCTCCCCCAGGTGACATACAACACGCTTATGGACGCATACGCCAAGGCAGGCCACCCGGAGAAGGCACAGCACGTGCTGGCAGTGATGCGCAGTGCGGGCGTGGCCCCGGACCTCTACACATTCAACATCCTGCTGGAAGCTGCTTCTAAGACCCGCACCATTGAAGACGCAGATAGGATCTACGAGGTACGTTTGTTGGGGCCTTGGGAAGTTTGTGGGAAGGGTAGGGGGTTGGGAGTGGGAGTGCAGGCAGCAGGCAGCAAGCATCTCGCCCCCCGGACCTCTACACGTTCAACATCCTGCTGGAGGCTGCTTCTAAGACCCGCACTATCGAGGATGCGGATCGAATTTATGAGGTCAGTTTACGAGTATTTACGAGGATTTTGAAGGAGGGGGTGAGGGGACAGGGGGGGCGGAAGAGGGAGAGAGGAGAGGAGGGGAGGAGGGGACGGATGGGGAGGAGGATAAGGGGAGAGAATAAAGGGGGAGGGCATGGGGGAACAATAGAGGGGGGAGGGCATGGGGGAAGAATAGAGGGGGGAGGGCATGGGGGAAGAATAGAGGGGGGAGGGCATGGGGGAAGAATAGAGGGGGAGGGCATGGGGGAAGAATAGGGGAGGAGGATTGGGGGAGGAGATAGGTGGAGATGGGAGTGTCAGTGGTGTGCAGTGCGGGTGTGGCCCCCGACCTCTCTCCACGTTCAACACCCATGTTCCTATCTCAACACACCCCCTGCTCACACCCCCTCTTACCCAACCCCTCCTCCCCTCCTTCACCCGCTCGGTCGTCCCTCCGCTTCACCCATTCCCCCTTTCCCACAAAAACCTCTCCCCCCAAGCAGGAGATCAGTCGCAGCGGGCTGAGGCCCAACTTGGTGACGTTCACAGCGATGATCAACGCGTATGGCCGCATGGGGCGGCACGAGGAGGCATTATTAGGAGGCGAGTCGTGCGTCACTCTACCATCATCCACTCGTCCTCTCCTCTGCTCCCCCCTGATTCCCATTCTCCGACTCAACCACACCCTGCTCATCCCCGCTTGCCCCACCCCCTCCTCCCACAACCCTTCCTCCCCCACCCCCTTCCCCCAATCCTCCTTCCCTCAACTCCCTCTCCCCCCAAGCAGGAGATCAGTCGCAGTGGGCTGCGCCCCAACCTGGTGACGTTCACAGCGATGATCAACGCGTATGGCCGCATGGGGTGGCATGAGGAGGGACCAGGAGGCACTAGCCGGCGAGACGTGCCCTCCCCTCCCCGTCCTCCACCTCAGCCATGCCCTGCCATACCCACTCTCACACCACCTGATTTTCCTGCACCCTTTCCTCCCCCACCCCTCCTCCCTTTCCTCCCCTCTCCTTCCCTCCCTTTCTCCTCTCCTCCCAAGCAGGAGATCAGTCGCAGTGGGCTGAGGCCCAACCTGGTGACGTTCACAGCGATGATCAACGCGTATGGTCGCATGGGGCGCCACGAGGAGGCGCAGGAGGTGTGGCGGGAGATGCGAGCGGCGGGCTGTGTGCCGGGCGGGCAGGCGTACACAGGGCTCATCAATGCTTATGCCCGCCATGGGATGTATGAGGTGAGGCCTTGAAGAAGTGGCACAGGAGGTGTGGGCAGGGTGGGAAAGGGTGGGCAGGCGTACACAGGGCTCATCAATGCTTATGCTCGCCATGGGATGTATGAGGTGAGGCTTGGTTGACGCATGGGAGTGATCAGAGCAGTAGATGCGGCGAGCGATCAGCAGGCTGTGTGCCGGGAGGGCAGGCGTACACAGGGCTCATCAATGCTTATGCTCGCCATGGGATGTACGAGGTGAGAGCAGATCGCCTTGAAAGGGGGGGGGAGGGAGGGGGGAAGAGGTGGGGAAGGGGGGGAAGGTGGAAAAGGGAGGGCTGGCAGGCATACCTAAGGCTCATCAATGCTTACACGGGCAGGGTGGGAAAGCATGGGAAAGGTTGGGAAAGGACATGCAGGGACACGGGCCACACAGAGCACGGAGGGCCTCACCTCTAATGACTTCTTCTCATCATCTTTTGCATCTCTTTTCCAATGTGTCTGTTTCCCATACGCCATGAGGCTGCTGGACCTGTTTTGTAACCCTCCCAGAAATGAAAGGCTGCACTCTTTTCCAACGCCCCTTTCCCCTTTCCCCAGGAGGCGCAGCGTGTGTTTGATGAAGCGTGCCGGGTGGGCATAGACCCGGACGTGCGCACACGCAGCTCATGGACGCATACGGCTGGCTCTTTCCCCCCTCCCCGTGCCTTGTTCCCCTTTCCCCTTTTACCAGGAGGCCCAGCGAGTGTTTGACGAGGCGTGCCGGGTGGGAATAGACCCGGACGTGCGCACGTACACGCAGCTCATGGACGCATACGGCCGCGCCGGCCAGTACCGCCGCGCCGAGTCGCTGCTCTCCCTCATGCAGCGCGCCGGCTTCGTTCCCGATGCGCTCGCTTACGCCGTGCTCGTCCGCGCGTTCGCCGTGGCTGATCGATTCGAGCTGGCCCTGGGTTACTTTGAGCATGTGTTGAGGGATGCGAACCCGGAGAGTCCCCTGTGCCAGCAGCTTATATCGGACTTTGGGTCGCTTTATACCGCGTATACAGGCAAGAAACTGGATGTGGTGCAGAAAAGTGGTTCAGCTGGCGGCAGCGGTGGTGTAAACGGGGGTGGGTTGTCAGTGCAGAGTATAGGCAGCAGTGGCGGTGGGATAGGAGCGGGTGTTGGGAGTGTGGCAAGGCCGGTGCTCCCTGAAGGGGGTGGGTTGGGAAGAGGATGAGATGGAGGAACGGTGCGTTTACAGAGCAACAGGAGGGGATTCTCTAGGTGCAAATGAGATTGAGCCCCTTGGGATACTGGATGGGATGGGTGCATCAAATGTACCGCCACGGTTGCAGTAGTGGGGGAGGAGGAGAGAGGAGATTCCTTGTTGAGTGAGTGAGGAGATTCCTTTTGAAGGGATCAGATTCTGATGGGCTGTTTCGTGCAGCGATGCAGCGGCCGCGGAGCAGAAACTAGGCAGATGGTTAGCGTGCAGTGATGCATGACAGTGATTGGCTGCTGGAAGATGCTTCCGTGCTCCATTCTTGGCATTGGGTTGGGTTGAATGAAGGGCGGTGCTGCAAATTTTCGCACTTGAAAGGTGCTTGATCTCCGGCAAAGCACCCTGTTCGTTTGGCCTACTGAATGTTGAATTGCTTTATGTGTTATGGTACGTACTGGTACATTGTGGAACCTAGTTTTATCACGAGCCGTAGTACAGCATTACAGATGCATTGTGAAAAGACTTGTCATGTTACACCCGACAGAAGCATCGAAGTGAACACAACGCACCATGGGAACTAGATTACCAAACCAAAGGTCTTGAACACAGCATCATCCCCTCCCCGATTCAGTGGTCCTCCGGCATTTTCTGTAGCTCCTAAAGCACCCTAGAGCATCCTACCATCCTAGAGTATCAAACATGGCATCTAGATCGAAAATGCATTCCATGATCCATCAGTGGAACTAAGACTACTACTGCCGTATGAAGGCCGTAGGCGTAGGAACGACTGGCATGGGAGCAAGTTTTCTCGATAAAGGCAAGACCACATAACAAAGTTTATTTCCTGACACTCGCTCCAATACAGGTAGAGGGTACAATACAAACAAGTGAGCATGTGTAGAATCCCAAGTGACCTCACTTTCAATATCTCCACACACATCCTCCCCATAACACTGCCCATTGCCCAAGCAGTTCCCGGGTGCACATCCCTCATTAGCACCGTCTGAGCACTCTGCAAATGAACGCTCTGAAACTTGAGTAGACTCAAAAGCTAACACTGCCCAAGCAGTTCCCGTTGCACATCCCTCATTTGCACCGCCGGAGCACTCTGCAAATGAACGCTCGGAAATTCCTAACATGATCAGGAACTTTAGGCGGCGTTGCTGGTGATTGGGCGCGTTGAGAAGGGGGGGGAGGAGGAGGGGGGGATGGAGGAGGGGAGGGAGGAGGGGAGGGAGGGGGAGAGGGAGGAGAGGGTGGGGGCGGAGATGGAGGAGGAGGGGGAGGAGGAGGAGGATCCGGGGGATACGGAGCAAACAGCACACACTTGTTATTCTGCACCAGATCCCAATTCGCCTGCACTATATACTTAGACCCGTTAATCCCCCTCATATTAAACAACCCCCCAGTCGAAGCAGTCGCAGTGTTTAGCTGCGTCGACGTTCCAAACCACGTCTGGCACTTGTCGGCGTTTTCGAAGAGGCCCGAGTCGAGCCAGGTGCGCATGTTCCAGGAGGAGGCGGTTTCGGCAATCTCGTGGGCGATGAAGCTGATGATGGCCTCGTGCACGGGGTCCCCGTTGGGGGATGGGAAGAAGTCCAGGAGCGGCGTGGTGAGGCCGCATCCTGGGCACTGGTAAGTGGGGAAGAGGGGTTGGCAGGTGAAGGAAGGGAAAGAGGGATGGGTTGGGGTTTAGGAAGTGGGTTGAGGGGGCAGTGAAGGAGTCGAGCCAGGTGCGCATGTTTCAGGAGGAGGCGGTTTCGGCAATCTCGTGGGCGATGAAGCTGATGATGGCCTCGTGCACGGGGTCCCCGTTGGGGGCCGGGAAGAAGTCCAGGAGCGGCGTTGTGAGGCCGCATCCTGGGCACTGGCAAGTGGGGAAGAGGGGTTGGCAGGTGAAGGAAGGGAAAGAGGGATGGGTTGGGGTTTAGGAAGTGGGTTGAGGGGGCAGTGAAGGAGTCGAGCCAGGTGCGCATGTTCCAGGAGGAGGCGGTTTCGGCAATCTCGTGGGTGATGAAGCTGATGATGGCCTCGTGCACGGGGTCCCCGTTGGGGGATGGGAAGAAGTCCAGGAGAGGTGTGGTGAGGCCACAGCCAGGGCACTGGGGGACAGGAGGATAGGGGGAGACGGGAAGGGGAAGGGGACGAGTTTTGACTGGACTCAGAAGTTGCCCTCGTTGGGGGCAGGGAAGAAGTCGAGGATGAGCCAGGTGCGCATGTGCCAGTCCAGCTGGAGGCGGCTTCAGCGATCTCGTGGGCGCCAAGAGACCCCAAAACCGGTTAAATTAGCGAAAGACGCAAGACCCGACCATATTAGGAGGAGAGGCAACTTACGTAGATGGTGGGGTCTCCAACCAACCCAGGCGAGGCGATCTTGGCTTTTGAGTCGACTCAGCCTTGACTCGGCAAGAGATGCAAGGCAAGGCACATGCAAGGAGTAGACAACTTACGTAGATGGTGGGGTCTCCAACCCAGGCGATCTTGGCAACAATGCTGCTGGCAGCAGCAGCAGCAGCAGCAGCAGCAGCAGCAGCGGTGGTGGTGGTGGTGGTGGTGGTGGTGGTGGTGGGGGTGGTGGTGGTGGGGGTGGTGTTATAGTCAAAGAACGTGTGCCAGGCGCAGTAGCTACTGCACCAGCGGGCCCCTGCGTTCTCCTTCGAACCGCTCTGCACCGTGTTCTTATCCGTCAGCAGGAGGTATATGTCGTCCGCGCTTATCGGCAGCTTCCCTGCGTCCAAAACCTGCCGTACCACGTCCACTGTGGCGTCAAAGGTGGTGAGGTTACCGCTGCTGGATACGGTTGCTTCTTGCCCCAGGGTGATGTTGGCTGTCACGTTGCGGCCGTCACTGTCATAATACATGCGGTTGACATTCCACCAGAGGGGCACTGGGACAGGGGTGGAGGAGAATGAGGGAGGGGGGGGGGGGGGTATTTGGGGCGCTTCCAAATGAGAAGGAAGAGTGGAGGGAACAAGGAGAATGGCGGTTGCTTCTTGCCCCAGGGTGATGTTGGCTGTGACGTTGCGGCCGTCGCTGTCATAGTACATGCGGTTGACGTTCCACCAGAGGGGGACTGCGCGGAGAGGGGGAGGAGGAGGGCAAGGGGGAAGTGGGAGGGAACAAGGGGAATACCGTCGCGGTCGTAGTACATGCGGTTGACGTTCCACCAGAGGGGCACTGGGAGGGGGAGGAGAGGAAAAAGGAGGAAAAAGGGGCACGAGAAAGGGCAGGATGTAATCAAAGCGTCGCAGTTTCACGCAGTTTCAGGAAGAGGTTGTGGCTGTTCTTGTCATGGTACATGCAGTTGACAACTTGACAACTTCCTGATTCCTCCAGAGGTGCACCGGGAGCGCTGATTCTATTTACTGTGGTCCATTCCTGTGTGTGTCCTTCCTCTCTTCCGTCATCCCTCCTCTCTCCTCACTCCCCACCCCTCTCTCGTCTCTCCTCACTCCTCTCCCCTGTCCCACACCTCTCCCCTCTCCCCTCTCCCCTCTCCCCTCTCTCCTTACTCACCAGTGACAGCAGGGTCAGCAGAGGGCGCGAGGGAGCTAACGAACAGCCGCACAGCGGATTTGAACCTCTCCGTAAACGCACTGCCATACCACACCACGTGCACGCGGATGGGTCGATGCATCATGGTCCCGCCTCGATACGTCACCGGTGTCGTGTTTGCTAGCCTCCTACGCCGCTGCAGCTGCCGCTTCCCCTCCTCGTGCTGCTGCTGCTGCTGCAACTGCTCCTGGCTCTGCCGTCGCTGCTGCTGCTGCTGCCGGGGCTGTTGCTGATGCGGTTGCTGCAGGTCCTGCTGGTTCTGCCGGTCCTGTTGTTTCTGCAGCGTCAATCCGCGCTGGTGTTGCAGCAGCAGCAGCAGTTGATCCTCGTCTGCTTCATCCTCTCCGTGCATGCCGCATGTGGGCAGAACACCAGGGATGTACGGACACTGTTGCTGCTCCTGCTCCCAGGAGTGCTGTTGCTGCTGCTCCCAAACGTGCTGCTGCTGCTGCTGCTGCTGCTGCTGCTGCGCGCTCATCTCTTCCCCAGCCATCCCTCCCCGTGGCCGTTTACCCACCTCTCTCACCCTCATCTTTTTCTCGTCCTCTCCCTCTTGCCGCACCACATCGTCACTTGCAGTCTCCTCCTTCCACTCATCACCGTAAGCAGCGTCCTGTATTCTATACACCAGCTGCAAGTTATCCTTCTCCACACGGCCTAGAGGTGACCTGGTGGGTAGAAGCCGAGTGAGCTTCCTGGAAAGGTGTGGCCGGTTGCTGCTTCCGCTGTGCCATATAGTTGGCTTCGATGATGCTGCTGCAGCTGCTTCTGCTGTTGCTGCTGGTGGTGATGCTGCCACTGCCACTCGGAGACAGACCGATGAGTTGTTAGTCCCAACCGTAAGAAGCAGCAGCAGCAGAAGGATGTACGTCGTGTGGCCCAGTATCAAAAGCAGGTGCCTCAGAACAGGATTAGCCGCCTTTCGTTGTTTCAACACTACTAGCTGTTTCCCATCCTCAAGCCCAATCGTCTTTCGCCCCGTGTGCTTGCTCCATCTCCTCCTCTCTCTGGTGGTACCGCCACGTCTGAAGCAGAAACACAGCGCAACGGTAGCTTTTTCGCTCCTACGACTACTATTCCGCCGCCCTTGGTCCTCCACAACCCCATGTTGCTGACACGGCACCATTCTGCTACTGCTGATGGTACTGCTGCTGGTGCTGCTGCCTCTCACTGATGCCCTGCACAACACCGCCGCTGTGCTGCTTCTAAAAGGTGAAAGACAGAGAGGGTTGGCTCTCACGCGTGTTCGGCAGCCGCAGCACACGGTATGACTACCACTACCCTTTCCTGCACGCGATTAAGGCGACTGACGCAGATGCGCCGCACTGTGGTGCTTATTACCAGAACGACGCGACCATATGGGGACAAACCAGTACTCCCAACCTCTTACCCTCTGGCAGAGAGTGCGGAGAGACTTTTGAGCCGACTCAAGAGGCGCCGCCCACACTGTGCCACACTCCTCAAATTAGCAGGGCGACCATATGAGGAGAAATAAATACTCCCAACGTCTTACCCTCTGGCAGAGAGTGCGAAGAGGAAGGGCAAGGAGTAAGTGCACTCACTGCGCTTGGCAGAAACCAGCGCTTGCTAGCCTTCTGAGACGCCTCTCTGAAGGTATCAGCCTGGTTCTTATAAAATCCCAGAACCGCTTTTGAGAGTTTCCAAGGGCACCAATCGCCCGCCCCCCCCAGCTCTGGATGGTCGGTGAATCTAACTACTTCTAGTTACGAAACGCAGAGGCAGCAGCCATTGCCGTGGTTGCTTGGAAACCCCACTAGTAGGGCTCGCAACTCTCCCGTGACATCCGTGCTATGGCAGCAGGGTGCAGGGTACTGCTGGGTGCTGGGTGCCGAGTGCTGGCATTCGGGAAGGTATTGTTCAACAATGAATACTGTTGCGATAGTGGTACTCGGGACGGCCGTGCTACGGGTGTCACTGGTGGGAGCAGTACGGTACTAATGGTAATACTCTCGGTGGCGTTCCTACGGGGTGCACCGTCATCTATAACGGCGGCCGTTTGAGTCTGACAGGGCCTCGGAATGCAGGCAAGGGCAGAGAGCACCGACAGGCGCAGTGCAGTTACTGTACCACTCACTACTCGCACTACTAGTTACCACTACTAGTAGCAGCTGCAGTGCGGCTTGGGTTATCAGGAGCAGTACTATCTCATTTGCGGCTACGTTTCAGCTTCTGCTACTGCACAGAGCTGGCGGTATACGTCTCAAGAATGGAGCAAAGTCCGCGGCCTTGGCTGTTCACATCCACTAGGAGGAAGCAAGCAGACAGGCACGCTGATCCACCGGTCGCTGTCACTTTTTTTGCGAAGCAACAGCAGCAAAGCAGCAACACTAACAGGTCTGTTGCGGTGCAACGCCGTCCGCTCACTCGCCCTTGCCGAAAGATACGGTACAACTTGACTTGGACGGTGATTCTCGAGTCGACGCAAAGTCCGGACGGTACGCACATGTCCGACGTCTCAAGTTCCCCCCTTCCACCGACGCTGGAAAGATCGAACAGCCACGGTCAGCGCCATGATACTGTATCGCAAGGTGACATGGCCCATCCTGTTCTGCCAGTGGAGTACTCAAAAGGACGTATTACTACTACCAATAGCAGTAGTGGGATTAACAAGGTGTAATATCATGTACTAAGAAGGGGGTATGAATAACCCCCGCCCTTCGTCCAAGTGACCGTTTCGAAGCTCCATGTCTACGGAGGTTTCCCGTACCAGAAACAATTGTCACCAACATGGTTAGCTTTACCAACTCGGTGGGAATAGCTTTCTAAGCGCTCCAGAGTGCTGAGTGTGGGATATCTGGGTAAAGGGGAGGCAAAGGGAAAACGCTTCTTTTGGAGCGAGCAGTTAGATTCAACAGTCACACCCGCAGAGCGGTGCGACATGCCACACTGTGGCAGCATTGCGGCCCACTGTACAGTGACCGGCTAGTGAGTACCACTGGTATTGAGGCCGGGTGTTTTCCGTCTAACTGTCTGTCTGGCCACGCCGAAGCGAGAGCAGTGAGGGTAGCGGGTATTCCTAACCAACTGCCTGGTGCAGTAGTGGTCGCGTTGACGAGCGCTGCTCGAGTCGAGAGAGACGAGAATGCCAAACGCCGCTGCTTCAAACGGGTATGGCAAACCCGAGGTGAAGCAGCAAGCCAATTCGCAAGAGCTGGGCGAAAACGATAGCGAACACTATGTCGCAGAAGGGGAGTTTCTACACTCATGTTACGGGCGTGAGAGCACCGACAGCCTAGTTTGTGAAGTGCTGGATGATGAAGCAGAACATAAAGCAGAAAAGGTTGGTTGGGACTTGATGGAACGGAATGGGATGGGAGGTAAAAGAGAGGGAGGGAGGTGAACGAAGCGAGAGAGGAAGGAGAAGGAGAAGGAGAAGGAAGGCGAGGAGTCGCGAGTCGCGTCGCGAGCCGTGACGGTTGCAATTCCAATTTTCATTTCCCTCCCATCCCAGAGCAGCATTCGCCTGCGATTCGTACCAATACCAACACTCCAGAAGCGAACCCAACCAATTGCGTTTGCCTCGAGCTGCATGCATGCCACATCAGAAGCAAACCCACTTTGGTGTGGCAACTTTTCGGTTAGTGTAAAAAAACATAAAACTGTTACTGCAGTCACTATACAGTAATGCAAGGCTGAATGTAAGGAAAATTCCTTTTCCTTACTTCGCATCCCTGCTCAACGCGTACATCACTGTAGCACCACAGTCAGCACCGTTACCACTCGCAACCCTCGCATCGACAATCTGCCCGCCACCTTCGCACATCGCACCCCGACCTCACGGCTCGGCGGGTAACCCGCGCTCCGGGCCTCCGCTTCGACACTTTTTCCCAACCTCAGTCCCAGGCCCGTCGCGCGACAACCACAGTCCATTACCGTTACCACTGTAGTTTCGCTATATATTCTTCGCTCATGCCTTCGCTCATTGTACTCTTGCTTCGATAGTGCAATTCTCGTTCGTTCACTCAATTGCACTCGTAACACTTGGTATTCAGAGCCTACGATCTCCTCTCGGACCGCACCCACACCTTCTCTTCCCCACTATCTCAATTTTTGGGGGGGGTGGACGTCTCTCAGCGACACAAGCACCGCCGCTCGTAGTGCTCTCTCGTAAGCACGCACGGCCACGACTGAGGCTCTCGCTGAGCTCGCCCGACACCCCCGCCATGGCCGAATTCACGCTCGCCACATTGACGCATGAGCAGCTCGACCGTCTGGTGCGCCAACTCGAAGATTCGGCGCTCGAAATTGTGACGCTCACGGCGGAACGTGACTCCGCGCGTCAGCAATCAACGATGAACACTCCAGCGCCACCACACGCACCGACAAATGCATCTGCACAATCAGACGAGCCGATCGTCATCTCGTCCGGCACACCAACACAAAACAACAGCGTGGGACAGCGCTCAGGCGCAGCCAGCGATGGCGCCGCCCAGCCGATGCCTGGCATGGGAGGAAACAGGGTCGCACCAAGCCCGCGGGAGCCTCGCGAAGCCCGTCGGCACGTGGAGTTCGCGGCGACAAGTGGCGAACAGGCTATCATGGCACCAATGCCACTCAAGCCGCAACGCCCGCCCTGCTTCGACCCGAGCCAGCGTGGAGGTCCGACGGTTCAATCGTGGGTCTTCACGATGAACGTCTTCTTCGAGGCGAATTACATCGAGTCGGACGCAGCGAAGATTCGGTATGCAGTTTCGCTGCTAAAGGGCCCCGCCATGGACTGGTGGCGAGTCATCGTGACGTCGCCACGCGCCTACGAGCCACCGTCGCAAGAGGAAGGGCCCACGGGTCCAGCTGTCACATGGAGTTCATTCTGCGAGACCGCCCAATACAGCACGTGGGATGCGTGGTGCGCAGGGCTTCGGGCGCGCTTCGAGCCGATCGCGGCTTCTATTTCAGCGCGTCAGAGATTGCGCACTTGGCGGCAGCTCGGATCGGTTCAAGACTATACGAGTGGTTTTCTCGCATTATGCGAGCAAGTCGGCTACATGCACGAAGCGGAGCGGGTGGACCGTTACGTCGGAGGGCTGAAGCCGGACATCTCGCACGAAATCATGCTACGCGGGC